TCATCATAGCTCACAGCAACCTCAAACTCCTGGGCTCAAGCGATCCTCCTGCCTCAGCCTCCCGAGTAGCTGGGACTACAGGTGCATGTCACATGCCCGGCTGATTTTTCTATTTTTCATAGAGACAGAGTCTTGCTCAGGCTGATCCCAAACTCCTGGCCTCAAGCAATCTTCCTGCCTTGACCTCCCAAAGTGCTGGGGTTACAGGAAGGAGCCACCGCACCTGGCTTCAGATCATTTCTTTATCCTCCATGGTACTAGGCACTGGGTGGACCCACCGTGTGATTTTTTTTCGTATTCCTTACCACACCTGCCTACAAAGCCAGGCAGAATCATTCCTGTTTTACAGACAAAGAACCTGGTCTTGGAAAGATGAAATCATTTGCCAGCATCCATCAGTTCACAATATTTATCGAGCGTCTACTCTGTGCCAGGGGCTGTGGGAGGCATTAGGGGCAGAATAATAGAGGAAGAAACAAGAACTTGATCCAAGGCCTGCGGCCAAAGTCCCCATCTCTCCACCAGCCCAGAGCTCCTCGCTCTGCCCTGTGCACACGCATCACCTGGGGATCTTGCTAAGATGCAGCTTCTGAGTTCGGGGGCAGGGCAGCGGGGTAGATCCTGCATTTTTTTAACGCGCTTCCTGCTGATGCCGATGCTGCTGGCCACAGACGCTGGGCTGAGCAGCAGGCTCTACACCACTCTCCCCCTCGACATCCCATCCCTTCCCCTGGTTCTCTTCGCTCTGGCCCCTGGTGTTTCTGCCTCTCTGGTTACCTCTGAGTTGTACTCAGCCAGGTAATACACAGCCACGCAGCAGGCGATGGCCACCCCAGCCGACACGGTCCAGGCTGCCACGTGGGCAGAGAAGCGGCTCAGCTGCTGATGGAATGTTAACTTGGTGTTCTCCTGACGCATCTCTGACAGGTTCTCCTAGGAACGCAAGAAAGTCAAGTTAACCCACAGATCCCCCTCCACGGCTGGCAAAGACCCCCAGGTGAGCTCCTGCTGCACCCAGAGACACAAACCAGCCCACACTCACAGGTGAGAGAGAGGGCAAAGTTCATGAAGGACATGGATTATGGGACACCAGTGGGGGACTCTCAAATGGGCCAAGAATCCCCAAACTCCATTTCCATCTTAGAGGAACAGATGGGACTAACAGATCAGGACCCGTTCTTGAAGAAAGTACACTGAGGTCACAGAGCTCTTTCTGGAAGAATGTGGCTGAGTATCCACACAGAGGAAGAAGTTAACATCTGCAACCCTCTTGTCCAAGCCCCTTTATTTATACATTCTGCTTGCTCTCTTTTTAATAAGTTTGTTTCTATAGACCAGGGTTTCTCAACCTCTGCACTACTGAC